TGGGTTCAAATCAGTTAATCAATTGTTATCTCACCTTAACGCACGCTGAATTGGCTCACCAACATACTCAATAACAAACTGTCTCAATGACTCGTTCACTGATCTCCCGTGTTTGACTTTCCACAAATCCAATTCTCCTGACGTCATCTTGGACAGAAATCCATCAACTAAAATTGCCTTCATGTACGTGGCATCGAGGATTCCTAGCAATCAAAACACCGCACATGTTAGTCTGGAATAGGTATGCCAAGAACAACGTACATGAGAAAATTGCAAAGATCATCACCAACATCGCTGCATAATGAGAATATTCAGAATTAGGGACTAATCATGATACATAATTGTTCAAACAAAGCCGGTTTTTGTTAGCCTCTCTGATAATTTATCCAGAAAATTTTCTCTTATCTTCAAAAAAAAAAATAATAAAATGCAAATTTTACTACCCTAAAACCAATTAAGTGTAATATTCTTTTCTCGTAAATCTAATCAAATTAGAAATTTGTTTCTGGTAATTCGGTACAAGTTCCTATACCTATGTATTGCAAAGTTTGGTAATCCGCCATTCCTGGGAAGTTTTAGTGAACTCAAAAATCGCTGCAGTTCCATAACAAATCGGAATATACTTGAAACAATCGAAAAAATGATTTTGTTTTTCTTTCTTGAAGCCTGCAAAAATTACTATTGTATTGGAACACTCAAGCATGCAAAGATAGCTTTTACTCTCCGAGGTCAATTTTCATTTGTAATGTCGATTTTTTTTGTACCATCTGTCCGTGAATTTTCCTGTTGTTTGGATCATATTTAATAATCAGAGCTTGTTGAAATTAGCTATCATAACACAAAGGAACCTTTTTACAAAAATGAAACAAATTTGTGACATGATCTATTGCGTTATTATTTAATATGTAGATTGTTTGTCAAAAAGTGCCAATCTAGTAGTTGTAAAGCCAGCAGCTGCTCAAGTTATGTTTTCAAGTTTTTCCTTCATATTGTCTTTTTTATTTATAATATATTGCTTTCGTTTTCAGCAGGGGAGAATCTCCTATTTATTTAACAAGCAAGAATAAAATTCAATGCATGTTTTCTGTTTCTCATAATCCTTGTTCAAATGTTATATAGTTTGTTAATGAAACTTCTTTTCGTTTCCGTTGTAAAGTAGTATTCATGACAAACATTGCACTGGACGGCTTCTTCTCTACCCAACACTGCGATAAAAATATGGCGCTATTTTATCATGGTAGTAGCTTTGTTGGCAACTTAATATTCTAAACATGTTGAAATTAAGAATAGCCCAAAGAATAAAGAAAATAAAAATTATCATTACGCTAGAGGTTATCTAAACCTAGGCAATGTTGACGGAAATTAAAATAAAATAAAGCTGGTTATCATTGGAGGGCTTGAATCTTTTCGTTTACTGCATTTATCCTGGTGACTAGAGTAGATGAGGCGTAATCGGCGGTGTTTATGAACTTTATATGCTAACTTTTGGTGAAAGTCTTTGGAACGGTATTATTTGAAACTATACCCTTAAAGCGCGCCGTTTGTTCGACAATCAGTGTTTCAACCTCGTTTGGAAAGGGCTAGAAGAAGATTTTAATTCTGCGGGCACAATTTGGAAAATTCAATGATTTTACCATCATCTGTAACAAATGTGTTGCCTTTCCCGGATTTTTCAGGTTGAACTTGGTTTTAAAAAAGAATGCTGCCCTGTTTCCATTATGTTTAAATTCATGCTTATCTTGTAACGTTTGTCGTCCGTTGTGCGAAAAGGCAAATATTTGGGCTTCGTTCTGAGGATAACGGCTCCAAATTTTTAATTGTCCACATTGCAAATAAATTGCCACAATTTTTGTTTTATAAAATTATCGGTAAATTCTGTGTCAGTTCAGTTAATAAATTGTCGTAAGAGATTCCATTAGATTTAAAATAATTTTGATAACTAGCTAACCTTCCGTTGGATAACTGAGCAACACACGATGTATATTTCCCTATTTACCAGTCCGTTATCATCGACATCTCTGAATGCTCCCTCAAATAGATTGTCGTAGCAGAACCATTACATTCAAAATAATTTTGATAACTAATCTTCCTCTAGATAACTAGGCAACATACGATTTTTATTTCTTTACCTACTGGACCGTTAATATCGACATCTCGGAAGGCCCACCTCAAACCATCAAGGCCTGCTTTGCACTCTTCCACAGTGCGAACCATTCCAGCAGCCACGCCTAACTTCATGTTTTCCACAAACTGGGTAAATGTTTGGTTTATTTCCATCAATTTGTTCCTTAATGTCTCCATTTCACTCACAGATGACGGTTGAAAATGCCACAACGCTTTACCCACATCCATAGGTAAGAAACAAATCGATGACCAGCAGAAAATATTCGGTCCCATGAGCCAATCGCCGGAATAATAATCGTAGGCGAAAGGTACACCGTATGGAAACACGTGCCGCATCCAATGAGAGAGCTGCGCTTTCGCCCGTTTTTCTCTTAATGTCAGTTTGTTGTCTCTGATCTTCATGTTTTCAAGTCTTTTCGTCAGCTTAGCAATCTCATCGGTAACAAATTTTATTTGCGTTGGCGTTGAATCGTAGCTTTTATAACGCTGGCGGATTTCATCTGACGTCACGCCCGGTTTAAAGGCGATTTTGTGTGGTAATAACTCATAAAACCGTTCCTGAGCTTGATGAAAGAACCTCTCTAGCCCAGAACTTCTCGCTTCTGCGGAGTATCCACAGCCACTGTTAATTGCTCGTGTATATTTCTGCGGTTCACATTGCTCGCTGGTTTTTATTGTGTTTGCTTGGATCATCAGCACAATCCCAGCTACGAGGCAAGCTATTCCACCTGCAACCAAGCCACCCACAACAATTGATTCACATCTAGTCCGTCTTTTTCTTATGCCAACTTCTTTGTACAACAGCGCCATTGCAGACAGAAAAGTAAAAAATACTAAAACTACAGGGCACAGAGTTGCAGAACTTTGAACCCAGATGTAAATCAGTGTGGAGCCTTTCGGAAATTACTCAAGAGCCTCAAAGAAACAATTTTGGACTAAGTGCAATTAATATTTTGTTATGAAAGTTTGAAACCAATCATTTTTTTCAAATCGCGTCCGGTCATTCTTTTCTTTATTTTTCATTAACGAAGAATTTTCGGTGTCATTTGGCGTGATAGAAGGATGTTGACTTTTTTATTTAACTGTTATGGAAATGTGTCACTTCACAGTAGCACGAAGCAAAGCTAATCTAGAACTGTAAACACGGAAAGCAAATATACCCTTTGATCTTGGCGAATATCTTAAGGTAACCAGACCAAAGCAACTGAAAACTATCATACGTAATGCCTTGATGAGTAGATACAGAAACTGATTCAACATGACTGCTAGCAGAGAAAGGCTCACATAACGATATACATGTAATATGGGAGCTGAAAAGGTGGTCCGAACGTGGGCAAACAATTCATGTCACCGAACCAATTGTGGAGAAGAAATAACAAGGAAAAAAGAAAAAAAATTGATAAAAATTACGGTTGGTATCATATGTTTATCCGTCTATTGGTGATAACTGTTCCATGAGTCAAATTCGTGTAAAGTGTGGAATAAAAATATTTTGGGGTTTCTCCGGAGCTTTGACAAATTTTTCCGGATCTGAATTAAGTGAAATCACTTCCTTGAGTGCATTCAAGTCCAACCCCGGACAAGTGGCTCTTAGAATAACATTTTTATTTGACTTTATTATTATTTACGCTAAATAAAAAGGAATTATTTTTCGAGAGAGGCGACAGGGAGAACGAAAATCATCAATTCGGGATTCTGTCTCGCTATAAAGTCGAATTCTCAGAGCTGGCATTAGACAGAAGCAACGGCATCCGGATTATTGTACATGTAGCACAAGATAGTTGTAGACGAAGTTATTTCTTTGTAATCCGTGTAATAAATCACTTGTAGCTAGGTCGAATAACGAATTGAAATTAACATCTGTCCTGAAATTGAAATTGATGTAAAACCTTTCATGTGAAATTGAGTTTCGCTTGCATGTTTATTTTCATGCAGATTGGGCGAAGGTTTACTGCCTCGTTTTGAAGCAGAGGCAATTTCCACATGAAATGCACTCAACATTCTCTTTCCCAGGGTCTCTGTTCCTTTTGTTGCAGTTAACGAGAAAAAGGAACCGAGAAAAGCAAACTTCGTCTCATATATGCTGTATCAGGCTACTCAAAAGGCTTTTGCTTTCAATTTAATGTTAAATGACAAAAGTATAAAACGTTTGTAAAATGCAACCAGATTAATGCGGTCATGTAATTTACACTGTTAACTGTCATTACAAATCTATGAAATGGAACTTTGATAAAATTTATTGGGTAATCATTTTCGCAATGTTGAAAAGTATGCGGCTCTTTCTCAGAATTGTACTTGCGTACTATTTTAAAGAAAGAATAACTACGTTTCCGATTTACAAAAACAAATTAGTGTTATTAGTAGCTTCCTTAAAAATCTCAGGATATTCCTTAAAAATCACGTGGGGTTCTGTCACGTTTTAAAAGTCCATAAGAAGCTTCAATATTTCATAATCTAGCCGTGTTTGTTGCGTTCGTTTACTTTTCTTTGTACATGTGGTTATTGGCTCACAGATAAAGACTGCTAAAATGCAATCAAAACTAACACAAGTGCCAAAACATTTCTAGTTGCAGCAGAAACCATTAACAGGTCTCATGTAAATGATTACTTGGTTTCCAGAATTGATGATCTGTGTCCAGAAATGTACTGTACAGGCTCCCAAAGACATGCTCAAAAATGAAATATGATAACAGCTTTGTCTTTGCGGGCAACTACAACTTGTGAATATTAATGCAATACACTTTTAATAATAAGCTATTGATAGTAAATTGTTATTATACAAAGAAGTAGAGAGCAGTTGAAAGTTCTTTGTTCATTTCCACTGCAGGTACCAGTGCTCCAGCTCCAGTTAACAGACCTTGTTGTTAGAATGCTAGTTTCTTAATTAGAAGATATACATGGTTGTCTACTTCCATTCCATGTAAGTTGTTTGCGTCACCTTGAAGCCTCATTAGTAGACCACCAAAAGACACATACGCAGCTCTGAAACACAGACAAAAAACAATCTAAAACGGAGGTATTAAACAGTCAATTTCATTATAGAAAATACAGTAAGCCTCCTCAACAACATTTTTTCACTATTGGTTTAAAAATAACTGCATAAATGACTTGCTCTAACAATTAATACTGAACATGCATTTTTTTTTCCAACTACAGTTGAACCTCCACTAACAGCACTGACAACAGCCAGTAAATCAAGAACTGATTAACAGTGTACAAAAAAAACCCATTTGTTTATGTGTTAAGGTCACGTATCAAGGTTTGATTTCTGTTTTATTGATATCTTTTTTTACCTCCCCATAATGACTAACTCTTTACAATGGCTACTTTCCTCTTCGCAGGGGGCAGATCCAGGATTTTTCTCAGGAGGTGGTGCATCACTTATGAATGGCATAACTGACTGGTGTGGTAAACAAATTTTAAAAGCAAATGTGAAGAAGAAAGCTTCATCTCAGGGGAGTTGCACCCCCTCCACCCTCCCCCTAGATCTGCCCCTGTGTACCAACGGTGATCCAAGGTAGTCCAAGGTGGTCATTGTGGTGTCAGGTTCTAAGTACTGTGTATTATACATGTCAAATACAATGAATTACAAGCAAAACCAATCATCCCTTGGTATAGCACAATATAAAACAAATTTTCACACACTTGACACCAGTTGCACATGTTTGCTCGGAGTTATAGTCCACAGTTTTTGAGTGAATGTTTTTCAAACCCCACTTGTACTTTGGTACAATGTATCAATTTGATGACAGCAATCTATGGAGTACAGTGCTGGTTTGATTGTTGGATTCACTTACAATCTTGTTGGGGCTTCCACTCCACCTTCATCTCCTTCTATTCTGTAAACTTTACCATACATGACATATTCAAACTGGTCAGCACGTGAGGGGCTGTTGTCCGATGGGTTATATTCACCATCATCTGGAGTACCATCTTCTCTTAGAGTGTTGGCCAAAACAAGTCGGAACTTTTCACCATAATCCACTGGATAAATCTGGGTATTAACGTCTAGTATAAGGTCCATTTTAAAACTTTCGCTTTCACAGTGGAGTCGAGAAACTACAGATGAAAGAACATGAGCCAACAAAAACATAAAAACATTTTGTGTGGAACGTAAAAATACAGTTACTTCAGAACGTATGTGTTAGTATATCTACATGTAAGTTCACATTATCAAAGAGAACTGAAGAAAAGTAGATTAGACCACCTTAGCCTGAAGGAAAATGGTGGACAAACTTGTAACCTTCAGAACCTTAACCGATTTCTGTGGTGTTTCGATAGAAAACTGTACGTGTATTTCCAAAAGATCTAATAAAGTGAGAGGAAACACGGCCACAGTAAAGCGAACAACTTCCTGCAATGCACCCTTATTACTTCACTGCTAGTAGTTCTAAAGGTATCCGGTCGTTTCGCCAACGAGTCGTTTCGCCAACGTCTCGTTCGCCAACGTCTTAGGTCGATTCGCCAACGTCCTCAGTCGTTTCGCCAACGTCCTACCGGTCAATTCGCCAACGTCATATATCCAATACTAACGAAAAAAAAGCTGCTTATTGATGTTTGGAATGCAATCCTGA